CATATTTTTACATATTAAATGATTTGTATTTTAATTGCATATTTTGACATTTTAAAAATAAAAATGCATATTTCAATTCATATTTTTAAAAATAATTTAAATTAACAAACTATATAATACCTATTATGTAACACCTTATATTATAGTAACATCCTCGTTGTATCCTTGTATCCATCTATTAGTTACTAGATAATATATAACGATTGTTGATATTAAGTATTATTATTTATTTATTGTCCAGAGTTATAAGTTAATGTGCGAAGTTACGAATTAGGAATGTTTATATGTATGTATTAAGATATTTAATTATGGTYATTGATATTTAGATAATTACTTATTGTATAACTTTATAATATATAGATTCACATTTCACACTAGCCAAATATACCAYAAAAATATTATGGCTACAATTATAATTATAGTTTATTGGTTTATTGCGATGTATTAAAATACGTTTAGAAACCGGAAGTTTAATATGTTCGCACAGTAAGCTTACCTAACTTTTTAGTTTTATTATTTACAAACTATTGTTACTAACTATTATTATATCTCATTTATGCGTAATAATAATATGGGCTACTCTGTTTTATAACTTAGACAAATAAATAAAAAAATGTTAATCATTATTTTACCTAAAAATATTTTATAATTAAAACTCTAGTTTCACTGCCAGTTTGCATTACACATGCTATTGAAATATAATCATTAACATCAAYATAAATGTAAACACTTTATTATTTTATATTCCATAATTTATGATAAATCGTTATACTGTACGAGTAGATAATAGCGTAGAAAAAAGATGAACAATTGAGAGGAAACTTATTTATGGCTGGAAAAATACAGAGAAAACCAAACAAACAAAAAGAATTGCTCCCTGTGTAAAATATGAGGTCAGTCRAAAACRTGACAAAATTTGCACTCAATTACATTGTAATAATAATCACAAAATGATTTCTTAATAAATTAATCAGATTAACTCATGGGGTATGAAATTTGACATGACATAATTCTATATTTTATTTGACTGTAATCTTATGTAATAAACATATGATAAAAGTATAATGCCAGAATAAGGATAACTTAAATATACCAACACTATATTACGTATCCCCCAAGAAACAGGGAACATTATCACTCATTGCCCTGAAAATATCTTTCAATTCGGTTAGCGGAACATTAAACTAGACTAATCGATTCCTATGATTTAAAATATTTTTAACTCGTATATTTTTCACATGCCCAACAAAACTTTTTTTTTTTTAAATAACAACCCCTATTTTAAATATCGGATTAATCGATTTTTTCATGACATTTTGATTAATCAACTTGTGTTTTAAACTCAAAATTGGCTAAATTAGAGCTATAGCCCTATAGGTATACTTTAAAAAAATCTTATCAAATTTAAATTTGTTTTTAACTGCTCGTACCTATTATTTTCTTATAAACACAGTGATGTAATCTAAGTTATTATTATTTAGTGATAAATTTAAATTATTTACATTTTTTAAACAATACTATAGATTTTTTTTACAATTTAATTTACTGAGATTACAAAATATGTTGACGGTGAGTTAGAAAGAAAATAATACGAAAAAAAAAAATTCAAATTTTATAAGATTTTTTTTATTTACACTAATATGAATTATAGCTAATTCATAACCAATTTCAAGTTTACAATACAAGTTGATTGATCAAATTGTCATGATAAAAATCGATCAATCTGAAAATTATATTTAACATTGCCATTTAAAAAATAAGTTTTGTTGCGCAAGCGCAAAATACATGAGTAAAAAAAAAATGTTAAGTCATAGGAATTTATGATCAATAATTAGTTTAGTTTAATGTCCTGCAAATATAATTGAAATATATTTACAAGATAATGAGTGATAAAGTGTACCTAACCTGTTTCTTGGGAAGATGGGACACATAATATATTCAGATATTCCATGCACTAGGAACAATAAAGACACGAATAGTAGATTACCTACCTATATTAGTTAATAGTTAGCTGTTAGGAATTTCACATGGTTATAAATACGTCATGCACGATACATCTAATAATAATAATATTGACGATGTTTATGCAAAAGAGCACATGTCAGTTTTTAAAAATTTAACATTATACTCTTTTCTTATAACACCATGCAATTTCCATGCACATAAGAGCACAAATGTTAGGTACAAAGTATTATGTATTAAATTWAATTTACTTGTAAAAACGCATCTTCTGTTCCCACGTACTGTTGATACTTTACATCATATTCGGGTCTAACTCTAGTATCTGAAACAACATCAATRGCTTCTGGGGCAGCTACTATCTCTTCATCTTGCCATATGTTTTTTAATTTCTCTTCTTCCGACTGTATTACTTCGATTTTCTTTTGATTTTTTTCTTCGGTTTTTTTTAAAGATTCAGCAGTCAAGATTGTGGTATCTTTTCCTGTTTTTGATCTACCTATTTAAATTATAAACCATGGTTAAGATGGAACTTATAAAACAAAAACAAACTGTTAATTAATATAATTCGATTATTTTTATAAATTTAAAAAATAACCTAATATAATTTATTGCAAAGTTCAAACTTACTGCCTAGTGACTATATAGTATCGTTTTAACAAGAAGAAAGTAATTTGATTAATACCGCTATAAAAAATTTCAAAAAATGTTAATATAATATAGCTTAATGACACTTTTATATTTATTCACGAAAGAAAACTATACGAGGCCCTTTGTAACAAGGATAACGTTTAGTTGGAAGTTGGAAGGAATACGATTGAGAACGGTCATTATTGGCGATACCTTTTTTAGACCCTTTTRACTATTACGATTGAGATCGCTCAGTTTTTATTTTTCCTCGCAACGTTACCAAACTTCTTTAAGAAACGTCTTTAAAACTCGATACTATTAAGCTGGGTACGGTTCAAAAGCAGAAGAAAAAATTTTAAAAACAATAGTCATATTATAGTAACTACCTACTATCAAAATAAATCATCTGAAAAATTAATAAAATATTTAACGCATCTGGGAAATCTATATAGGGGAATTAAATATTTTTAAATTTTTGTATTATTGGCAGGTAGGTACTTATGTGTATKGACATGAAATTTCGCTTATGTTTTTAAATTTCTAAGCTTTTGTATTATAAGTATAGGTATATATGTATATTTTATATATATAATATATGACATTTTTAAAATTTAAAATTTAAAATTATTTTATTCAATGTTTTATTTTGACTTGAATATAGTTCGGCAATGTTGCACTTAATTTCGTTCTTAATATTACTGTTTTTTTGAGTCAGCGGTTATTTCATTGTTCCATTTCGAGTGATCTCAATCGTACGCTATAAAAGGTCGAACGTTCTCAATCGTATTATAGCCGTTTAGTTTAGTTAGACATACCTATAATATAATTGTATTATACAGTAAGATTTAATAAGTAAATAAACACTACCTAACTTTTATTTTACACCAAATTACCTAACGGACAATGCCATTAATAGTAATAATTATTTAAAAGGGAATTCGACCCGTCCGTGTTTAATACTTGTATACCAAAATAAATCTTAAAGCGATTTACGATTGAATCTTAGTCATTGAATAAAATCTCTAAAAACTTTTTTGAATTTCTTCGGAAGTCTGCTTAAAAACGACTTTTCATCCCCTTCTCTCTCATAAATCTAACACTTTACT